TCTCCTGCCTCCGCCTCCCAAGTAGCTGGGACCACAGGCCCCCGCCACAGCACCCAGCTATTTTTTGGTTGCAGCCATCATTGTTGTTTGGCGGGTCTGGGCTGGGGATTCGAACCCGCCACCTTAGGTGTACATGGCTGGCACCTTAGCCGGTTGAGCTATAGGCACCAAGCCGACAAAGTGAATTCTTAAATTGATAGAGTCAAGAGAAAAATTTTCTAGAAAAATAATGGTCTTGTGCACACTTCAATTCTTGATTTTGATTTTGCTTTTATGTTTGGTTTTTGGTGTATCTTTGCTTTTTCTATAGATTTCGTAAGATGAACAAGCGCCTGGTTCCCAGAAGACCCCTGAGTGCCTCTTTGGGTCAGCTTAATGAGGTGGGCCTGCCCTCAACAGCTATCCTTCCAGATGAAGGTACAGTGGATCTGCCTAGTAGAAAACCTCCTGCTCTGCCAAATGGAATTGTATCAGCAGGGAATACAGTAACACAGCTTATTCCGCGAGGGACGGACCCCAGCTATGATTCTACTCTGAAACCAGGAAAGATAGATCATCTGAGCAGTAGTGCTCCTGGATCCCCTCCTGACTTGTACGTCATTTTTCCTAACTCTTACTTACAATTTTTTCTATATAAGTAGAAGGAAGAAGAAATAATTAATGTTTTGCTTTTTAAAAAGTAAAAGCAAAAAACCTGTTGTTGTTTTTTTTTGGCCTTTGTTTTATTATTTTTTTTTATTTCCCATACTATTGATGTTTAAGAAATAGCATGGATGAAATAAGATAAAAATTTGCAAGTTTTGTAGAAGAGATGTCTATTAGAATAAACCAGTTTCCCCATTTGTGGCAGTCTTTCTTGTTGTAATTTATGTACATTAGAAGTATTTTTTAGATAACCTTAAACTTGACCTGCATAATCTTATTCCCTTAGGCTAGAATCTGTCCCTAAGAGTATTTCTGCCTTACCTGTGAATCCACATCCTGTACCTCCAAGGGGGCCAACAGAGCTGCCTGCCATGCCTGTCACCAAACCACTTCAGATGGTCCCACGAGGTTCTCAGTTATATCCAGCACAGCCGGCAGATGTTTATTATCAGGATCCTCGAGGAGCTGCTCCACCATTTGAACCAGCACCTTATCAGCAGGGTAACGATTTTTCATTTATGTTGCTCACTTTTCTTAGGAGCTATGACCACTATTCAGGTAAGAGTGATCATTTACACAGTTGGCTTCCTTAAGATAGGTAAATGCATTTTTAAAACTTTGGATGGGCTTGGCGCCTGTGGCTCAAGTGGCTAAGGCGCCAGCCACATACACCTAAGGTGGCAGGTTCGAATCCAGCCCGGACCCGCCAAACAACAATGGCTGCAACCAAAAAATAGCCGGGCGTTGTGGCGTGCGCCTGTGGTCCCAGCTACTTGGGGGAGGCCAAGGCAGGAGACTCGCTTGAGCCCAGGAGTTGAGGCTCTGTCTCAAAAAAAAAAAAAAACAACTTTGGATGAACTGAGATTTTTATAATCAGTTGAATAGTATCAGATAGATGAAGTAAAGCAATAAAAATCAAACCACCTTATCTATGTAAAGGAGATAAATAACTTGTTCATATATGTATGGAAATAACAGGTCACTCAAGTAAAAAATGGAAATTTGCTGACTAAGGTGGTATATGTTCTGGTTTGTTAAAAATTAAGTGATCAGTTGTGATGTTTAATATTGGCTTGGTGGAAATAGACTGTAAGACTCAAGGGAGATCACTGAGAACTTGAGGAATCAAAAGGGCTTCATGGAATACCCCAAAAGATATTGGAAATGTTAGAAAGGTTTATGAATGGATTGCAAAGATAAGAGTCTAGAGTCAAGAAGATGGGAGGCTGTTAATCCAGGTGTGAGTAATGTGTTCGAAAAGGAGATTTAGAAAATAAATGTTTTGTCAAAAAGTAAAAACAAAAAAACTGATTTTGTGTGTGTATGTGTGTTTATTTGAAGATTAGCCAGATTTAATGATAATACCAGGTATGGAGAATGGAGAAAACGTGGTAGTTTAAGGCTTCATTTGTACAGTTCCTATGTAAAATAAACACTGAATGTTTTTAAAATGAAGTGTTGGATCTTCCTGTCAGAGACAATATAGTCAATAGAGACAATAATTTATAGAGACAATATTTAATTATTTATTTATTTTTGAGTTAGAGTCTCACTTTGTCACCCTGTATGGCTTAGCTCATAGCAATCTCCAACTCTTGGGCTCAAGCGATTCTCTTGCCTCAGCCTCCCAAGTGGCTGGTAATACAGGTGCCCACCATAATGCCCGGCTAGTTTTTAGAGACGGGGTCTCGCTTTTGCTCAGGCTGTCTCAAACCTCTGAGTTTAGGACATTCTACCCATCTTGGCCTCCCAGAGTGCTAGAATTACAGGCGTGAGCCACCCTGCCTGGCCTAAGTGCTATTATTTTTTAAATGGAAACAAATTAAAGGTGTGCTCTCCGTTTCTTTTTCCTAAGGCTATCATTTAATTTTGAAGCAGAAATACTGTCTCCTCTGCACTCAGAAGGATAGTTTTAAATTGATACGGCATTACTAATAAATGTGAAATATGATAAAATTGTATTTGTATCTTCCTTTTGACCATCCATTATGGGAAAAAATCCAACTATTTTTAGTGGAGTAGCCTATATGTAAGTTGAAATACACTGTTAATCAGGGTTCAATTGCAGATAAATTATTCTAGCTATATTAATCAGAAAGTTGAGTGCATGAGTTAGATGTCTACAGTGTTGTCGGAAGTGCTAGAGAAGCAAACAATGCTGTTACAGTGAAAACACCATAGAAAACTTGTGTCCTAACTGCTGGTTCTAGAATCACATTACTTCAGATAAAAGTCTGGAAACGAAGAAGCTGTTGGTACAACTGTTGTCTCAAGACACTCTAGGGCCAAGCAGGTAGCTACTAGATCTGCACCAGCAGAGCAGTCCTACCTTTTGTATGTTACATCTCTCTTCAGTTTCACATTGAGAATTCATTAAAATGATTGATTTGTGGAACCTGAACTTCAAGTATGTCTATGAAATGTAGCTTTTGTTTGCCAATCTCTGCATTTCATTAAGACACACCAGAAGAGGGTCAAACAATGGAAGTCAATCTACTGCTATAGATTATAAGTAAATTAGTTTTTCCAGTGACTTTTCCATGCAGTACTATTTTGAAGGTATCAGTGACTTTTAAGAATAATTGTTATTTTTGAAAAAACTAAACTGATCATATAAGTAGAGGGAAAACTAGTGAAGAAATATGAAGACTATTAATACTTCTGTGTTTCAGTATTTGAAACTCATATTGAGTCATTGCTGCTTTCAATTCCTCTTTTGTATTATGCAGGTATGTACTATACTCCACCACCACAGTGTGTGTCCCGCTTTGTCCGACCTCCACCATCTGCTCCTGAACCTGGTCCTCCATACTTGGATCATTATCCGCCCTACCTCCAAGATCGCGTAGTAAACTCTCAGTATGGCACACAGCCACAACAGTACCCCCCTATGTACCCACCTCACTATGATGGCCGGCGAGTATACCCTGCTCAGTCTTATACGAGAGAAGAGATATTCCGAGAAAGCCCTATACCCATTGAGATTCCACCTGCAGCAGTTCCATCCTATGTACCAGAATCCAGAGAAAGATTCCAACAGATTGAGGGTTACTATCCAGTGGCTCCTCATCCACCTCAGATCCGACCTTCGTACCTCAGAGTATGCTGTGTTTTTTTTCTTATTACATAGACTTGGTTTGGTTATTGCTTGCAGGGATCCCTTACTATTTTTGCCACGATAACTCTTTGATCACTTCTTTTTTATAAGAATGCTGCTTCTTTCTAATCTTTTCATAATTTGGGTAGGGTTTTCTTTTGGGGGAGGGGTTTCTTTTAGAGTCAAGATCTTCCTATGTTACCAAGGCTGGGTGCAAGTGATCCTCCCACCTCAGCCTCCTGAGTAGCTAGGATTAAAGATGCATGCCACTGTGCCTCACTTGGTTATTATTATTTTTTTGAGACAGAGCCTCAAACTGTCGCCCTGAGTAGAGTGCTATGGCATCACAGCTCACAGCAACCTCAAATTCCTAGGCTCAAGCCATTCTCCTGCCTCCGCCTCCCAAGTAGCTGGGACTATAGG